TAATTCAGAGTGGTGTGTGTGTGTGTGTGTGGTACTGACCCAGAACTGTTATTTGCGACTGTAACTTAACCTCTGGTAGTCTCACCTGCTCTAGTTTACATAGACAAATGGTAATCAATAAAGTTTAGCTCCACACCAAGGTAACATTGTCAGACATATGACGAGTAAATTGGCTGGTGTGAATTATGTTATTTTCTTTTCTTTGTTGTCTTTCATCCAATCATGTTGACGACTGGATTGATTGGTGCCTTTAAGGGAACAACGGCGTCTGATTATCTGATTGGCTAACTACTGTACTGAGTGGTGATTCAGGCAAAATTACACGGTGATTGTACACTACCCCGGCAAAATAACACGGTAACTGTATACTACCCCGGCAAAATAACACAGTGACTGCACACTATCCCGGCAAAACAACACGGTGACTGTAGACTAACCCCCGAAAAAATTAATAATATTCCTCTCTCGTGCGTCGCTGAGGTGTTAGGTAATCAACTCATGGTCATCTGTTCGCCAAGGTTACTTAATATTCCGCCGGGAGAGACGCCTGTTGTCTTTCTACCCACATACAGTCTATACATAAAACAATAGAGCATTAATCCCCCTCCCTGCCTCACCTACTTAACGCCAATCACCTTAATATCAACTTTTAAACCATCATTAACTAGTACCTGCTTTAATCACTCCCAAACCCTCAGATATAAACTTGAAAATTTCTATTGTCAGTTTATCACTACCTGGGTCACAGCCGCTGGGTCACTCGGTAAATATGTGTGTGTAGGTTAAACTGTATCTAGTGTAGGTGATAAGGGTGGGTTGTGTTATGGTGCTCGCTTGTATATGTGGTCTACCTGTCTACAAACCCTTAAATAAGCATTAATAGTTAAATCTTTAATCTAGGGTCATCACTCTTGAGGTCCCAGAGGGTTATAAGTGGTTTTGGTTCAGGAATCAAGAGGGTAAAGAGGATGATGGAGGTGACAGTTAGTTGTGAAGGAGTACTCAGGAGGATCCGCCGTTCAGGACTCGGCTTAAGGTGGTCCTCAAAAAGGCCGCTTTCAAGTTTTATGATACAACCTTTCTGATGACATTGTTTGTTTGTTTGTTTGGGTTGTCTGTGTTCCCTCCCTGTTTTGTTTTAACATTATAATTAGCTGATATCAACTAAGGTACTCGATCAAGACCGCGTAGTTACAGTGTTAACAGCTGATGCCGTATACAATTCATCCTGACGTGATGTATTTGCCAACACACACACACACAGGCTTGACACTATGCATATTAACAAAAGCATGTTCCCCAGTTGGTTAATTTGTAAACATTCTCTCAAGAACTGAATCTGTGATGACGTCTTTATTGTATCGAGTTGATGGTTCGTCTTTCTTGGTGAATTTAACTCATCCTTTGGTTTCGTCTGGGCAGTGGTGGCAAGAATGGTGGGAGTGATATTGATGATGGTGATAGTGGTAGTATGTGGAGGTAGTTTTTTGTAGTGCGTAGTGATGGTGGTAGTTTTAACGGAGGTGGTAGTAGTAGTAGTAGTAGTAGTAGTAGTAGTAGTGAGAAATATTAACAATGGGGTAGTTTTAATTGATGGTAGTAGTCGTGATAGTAATGTTGGTTGTCTTTGTGGGGGTGGTGGTAGTAGTAGTAGTAGTGGTTACGAGATTAAACCCAATCTAGTGAGTCAGTGTTTAAAGAACATCATTGGCCAAAGGAAGGCTATAGGTAGAAGGATAAAGCGTGGCGAAATTTACCTCCGGGATTATTATAAGATATTGGCGAGTAGGGTTAAGACCGAGATAAGGAAAGCCAAGAGGAATAATGAGGTAAGGATAGCAAGGGAGGCGAAGACAAACCCCAAAGGATTCTACCAAATGTATCAAACTAAAACACGAGAAAAAGATTGGACCAATACGGTCAGATACCGGCGAGCTCACTGATAACGACGGAGAAATGAGCAATAATTTGAATAAATATTTTTCAACAGTTTTCACCACCGAAAATTTAAACATGATACCCGAGGCACCGACTCTATTCAGAGATAGTGAAGAAAACAAATTAAGCGAGATAGTAGTGACTAGTAACGATGTTAGTAAGCAAATAGACAAACTAAAGCCTAATAAGTCACCTGGTCCCGATGAGATATTTGCCAGAGTATTAAAGGAATGTAAGGAAGAGCTAAGTATGCCCTTAGCAAAGTTGTTTAACATGTCCTTAAAAACAGGTGTAGTACCAGAATCCTGGAGGATAGCGAATGTAATACCGATTTTCAAGAAGGGGGATAGATCACTATCCTCTAACTACCGCCCAATCAGTCTAACATCAATAGTAGGCAAATTACTGGAAGCAATCATTTCAAACTCTATTCGAAATCACCTGGAGAAGCACCGATTGATCAATGATTCCCAGCATGGCTTCACAAGCGGGCGTTCTTGTCTAACTAATCTATTAACATTCTTTTCATCAGTTTTCGAATCGGTGGACGAGGGGCACAATTATGATGTGGTATATCTCGACTTTAGCAAAGTCTTCGACAGAGTCCCCCACGAAAGACTAATTAGAAAGGTAGAAGCACATGGCATCAAAGGTAATATCCTTAAATGGATTAGGGCGTGGTTACAGGACAGGAAACAGTGAGTGAGCATTAACGGCACTAAATCCCATTGGAGCAACGTCACTAGTGGAGTTCCCCAAGGCTCAGTACTTGGACCATTATATTTATTATATACATAAACGACATAGATATCGGCATAGACAGCAACATAAGTAAATTTGCTGATGACACTAAAATAGGACGTGTTATTAAATTTGACGAGGACTCGCCAAAACTACAGGAAGATCTAAACAAATTTTTCGAATGGTCTGAAAAATGGCAGATGAAATTCAACGTGGACAAATGTAAAGTACTCAGTATAGGAGATGTAAACAGGGAAACCAGATACCAGATGAACAACGATGCCATAGAGAAATCCGACTGCGAGAGAGATTTAGGAGTAATGATAAGTAGGAACCTTAAGCCAAGTAAACAATGTATTTTTGCTCGTAACAAGGCTAATAAAGTACTTGGGTTCATACAAAGGAGTGTTAGTTACAAGACTAGCGAGGTCATCCTAAAACTGTATCTTGCGCTTGTGAGACCACACCTGGATTACGCAGTTCAGTTCTGGTCACCGTATTACAGAATGGATATAGAATTCTTGGAAAGAATTTAGAGGAGAATGACAAGACTAATCCCGGGCATTAGGAACCTTGAGTATAGAGACATGTTGAAGCATCTTAATTTGCACTCCCTCGAGAGACGTAGAGTGAGGGGCGACCTGATAGAGGTGTATAAGTGGAAGTCAGGGCTAAACAAAGGGGACATTACAAAGGTACTCAAACTATCCAACCAGGAGCGAACTCGTAACACTAGTTTTAAATTAGACAAATTTAGATTTAGGCGCGAAATAGGTAAACACTGGTTTGGAAACAGAGTAGTGGATGAATGGAACAAGTTACCAAACATCATCATTAACTCGAATACGCTGGATAGCTTCAAACATAGGTTGGATGGATATATGAGCAATAGGGGTTGGGTGTAAACGGGACTGCCCAGTATGGGCCAATAGGCCCGCTGCAGTTTCCTCCATTCTTATGTTCTTATGTCCAAGTTAAACACGACACACGCCCCTGGTGATGAAGCAGCGGTCCCCTACTAAATGTAAATACAACCCTCACCCCCCACCCTCACCCCCCACCCTCCCACCCCCCCACCCTCACCCCCCCCCACCCTCACGCCCCCACCCTCACCCCCCACCCTCACCCTCACGTTCACCCCACCCTCACCCTCACCTCACCCTCACACTTCATCAGCAGCATGAAGTCTGTACATAACAAAATAGACTTGAGTGTTTCTCTTTGTCACTCTCTTTCTCCACCATATAAAATAAGTCTTTGCGGGAATGTTATTTTACGCGTTAGGTTCATCTTGTCGGTCCGCCATACAAACTGGTCCCTTGGTTCAGTAGCTGGTGCGTCGCTCCATCCCCTTGGCAGTATGGTAGACAAATAAACACTGTGCCTTACAGACTGTGCACCAGCGAGTCTCCCTCACCAGCCCTGGCGGCACCTTATCCTCATAATATATTACTAATAACTTAACACAAGAACTATGTTTACTAATAATATCAATACTAACTACTACTATTAATACTACTGTTATTATTATAAATAATATTAATATAAAAATAGTATAATATTGTTTTAAATTATTAAAAGTTAGTCAAATATTCATTCCGATTAGTTTTTTCTCGCTTGGCGGCCACCACACCACATCTCGACCACAAACACAATACCTACACTACACTCCCAATAAACACACCGATATATTCAATTTTAAAAAATCTATCATTATCATCAGTTAATGTTTTTGCAGTATGAGTCTACAATGAATAACATCAGTACAACATAACTCACAAAGAATATAACAGTGTAGTGAGCGCTACACACTGACCGCTGCGCCAGCACAGCGTGGGTGGTACACTTTTATTTAATGTGTCGACCCCCAACACCCGGAGCTTTGAGAAGGCCCCGAGCTTGTTGAATTGGACACAAAGTTTGAAGCTGTCTCGTGTTATATGCTTTTATATCTGTAGGTCACATCTAACTCTTACTGTTACATATTGTATCTCTCAACAGTCGGATCAATTAACTGTTCCCCAAAGTCCTCACAGTCTGAGTTAAAGGATTCTCAAAGGATCGTCTGTTGACTCTCCTGGTACTGTTCCTGCAGCTGAAATGGCGGCCAAATTACGCTGAGACTAGTACCTCCATGGACTCATTCTCATATCATAATACATGTGGACCCTGAGCTGGTAGGTGAGGTGTACTGGTAGGTGAGGTGTACTGGTAGGTGAGGTGTACTGGTAGGTGAGGTGTACTGGTAGGTGAGGTGTACTGGTAGGTGAGGTGTACTGGTAGATGAGGTGTACTGGTAGGTGAGGTGTACTGGTAGGTGAGGTGTACTGGTAGGTGAGGTGTACTGGTAGGTGAGGTGTACTGGTAGGTGAGGTGTACTGGTAGGTGAGGTGTACTGGTAGGTGAGGTGTACTAGTCTAGATGACGTTGGGTATTGTACTGAAACTGGAGTAAATAAACTGTACCTTTCATCTGTTTGGTGAGGGAGCATCAGTGTTATGTCCTTGAGAACCTGTAACTACTACTACCTGTATATAACGAGATTATAAGGTATATATATACAGGTAAATATATATATATATATATATATATATATATATATATATATATATATATATATATATATATATATATATATATATATATATATATATATATATATATATCATTGCCGTCCTTAAATTGTGTCAACTAATTCGAAGGTGATTAACTTCCGGGTGTTGAAATATGATATTGTTGAAGGTTAAGTGAGACCAACACACTGGTGGTAATTACTCTGGAATCTTGTGTTGTTTGTGTAGTAATAATAATAATAATAATAATAATTGAGTAACCACTGCCCCGCCCAGCCAACACTACCAGCCCCCATTTTATGTTTGCTTACATTCTTGGCGTGACGTCAACAAGACTCCGCGCTGGAAATTGGTTCCATATTATTAAATGCTCAGTCGCCTCCGTCACTATCATACGCGATTCCTCATTCCTCACTCACTGGCCAAACAGATTTATATGAGTCAGCGAGGTATACAAGGGTGTCATAATCACTGCTGTATGACCACTTGAAATAGTTATATGATTCACTGTGTTAAAGAGGTGACAGTCGTGGCTTGTGTGTATGTGTGTGGTTATGTAGTATCACCTATCATTATGTGTCATCTCTGGGGTGTCGTCAGAGTTAATATAGGGGTTGGTGAGGCAGCCTTCATATTATGGGTAATGATTAGTGTGTGGCCGACCTGCACTGAGAGAGCTGGTGTAGGAAGCCTGTACCGCCAGCCACCAAAACACACGCTTCACTCAATGACGGAAACAAAATTACATTCTACTGTTACTTGTTTGTACTGGCCCGTCAACATGTTTACCAGCTACCCTTTATGTTGACTTATATAAAAAGAACTTGGTAACTAACACCACGAAATTCTCTCTCTCTCTTTTATAAGAATTTTATTTTCTCACCGTTCATAGTCAGTGTTTTCAAGCCCGAGTGTTTAAGTGGACAGTTCACTGCTGGTGTTTGTGTCATTATATGTAAAAAAGAGATTTCTTAGGGTTTATAACCAAAATATTCAATAAGCTCAACGCACACCTCACGCGTCTGCCACCAGTGACTTAAGCACACGGAGTTTTCTTTGGTTTGTCTATGCACAAGAGGATGCCACCACGACACCGCTACCTTAACAACTCTTAGTCCCAGGTCCATTTCCTGAGCTACCAGTGGAAGTTATGGCCGACCATCTTGTAGAACTTAAAGTTGAAGGGCCTGTAGAAGTCCCTGAGGATGTTGTAGGTGGCCTGGGAGACGGGTGGATGGGAGCGGCCCTTGGAGGAGCCGAGGCAGTGAGGTCGACCCGCCTTCTCGCGCTTCACCAGGCACGGGAACCCTTTGGTGGCGTTGAAGAAGAAGTGTTTGTCGGTGATGACTCGCCTCAGCCCCAGGAACTCCTACACGACACAATAGTTGTTGTTAGTTGAGGCACAAGACGCTACACTGTTCTTATACACACACATGTCATAGTTATAACAACAATAATTATATTACTAATAATGTTTAACACATCACAGCCACGGTGGACGGCTTCCTGTGCCCTTACTACCATAGCCTCTATCATGCCCAAGTCCTGCTGGTACCTTTACTAAGTGTGTGTGTGTGTGTGTGTGTGTGTGTGTGTGTGTGTGTGTGTGTGACCGAGGTGTACTGTATATAATTGGAAATCAGGATTAAATAAAGGTGATAAAACCAATTATGATCAAACCAGGAGCAAACCCGTAACACTGGTTTTAAATGTAGTTTTAGATGGGATAGAGGTCAACATAGGTTCACCAGTTGGGTAGTGGATGAGTGGAACAAGTTACCAAACATCATCATTAACACGCTGGATAACTTCAAATATTGGCTGGATGGATATATGAGAGATAGGGGTTGGGTGTAAACAGGGATGGCTAGTATGGGTCAATAGGCTCACTGCAGTTTCCTTCAATGTTTTGTTCTTACCATAACTGGACGCCAGGCACCGGGACCACGCCAGCTACACCACAGGATTTCTACACACCACACCACAATATAAATCTTGGATCACGTGAACATTAACCCCCCCCTCAACCCACATCCAGCTTATGTCCCCTTAACATTAACCACCATAATCCTAACCTAACCTAACACTGAGGGTGAAGCAGCCAGCCTCGCCCGTTTACATAACGCTCGCCATGAATAATCCAGTAAAGTTGTTGTCAAGGCAGTTTTATATATTTCCTCTCCTATATTATAATTCCATATTGTATACCATTATATTGTGATTTATATTGTATAGTTAAATTCATATTGTACGGGTGTTTACAATGTGTTTTCTTAATTTGTTTCCAGATATATTTAGTTTTTTTTTAAATAAGGATGACCACCATTATCTAGGTACTGTATATTTTAACCAAAGAAATGTTGATGAAATGAAGTTGGCCGTCTTAGATGCATTTAATACTAAACTACAATGTGAAGTATAACAAATACACATGATTAATTATACACAAAAGTTATTTCATATTAAACAATAATTTATTTTACAAGTCGAACAATTTACAGCTGTGATCGCTTGTTCACCTTACGCACTGGTTTAATGCTCCTAACTTACAACTACGCCACAACGAACACAAATCTGGTAATATCCTCAGCCAAATGATACACCTCCCTCGGTACTGTGGAGTCGACAATAACGCCGTACACACCAAGCAATAACACCACATCCTCGTAATGACCTTAACTTGTGGATAACGATGAGTAATTACGCTTTAACGAGGTTTAAAGCCACCATGCCAGACTACACCACCCTGGAGGTTCATTCAGGGGACTACACCACCCTGGAGGTTCATTCAGGGGACTACACTACACCACCCTGGAGGTTCATTCAGGGGACTACACCACCCTAGAGGTTCATTCAGGGGACTACACCACCCTGGAGGTTCATTCAGGGGACTACACCACCCTGGAGGTTCATTCAGGGGACTACACCACCCTGGAGGTTCATTCAGGGGACTACACTGGAGGTTCATTCAGGGGACTACACCACCCTCAGACTACACCACCCTGGAGGTTCATTCAGGGGACTACACCACCCTGGAGGTTCATTCAGGGGACTACACCACCCATTCAGGGGAGGTTCATTCAGGGGACTACACCAGCCTTGAGGTTCATTCAGGGGACTACACTACACCACCCTGGAGGTTCATTCAGGGGACTACACCAGCCTGGAGGTTCATTCAGGGGACTACACTACACCACCCTGGACCGTCACCTGTATTTTTTCTCACTGTAGTATTACTTTAACACAACTGTAGAGTTTTGGGGAGGAGCAAGTCATTTACTCGTTTCTGATGTGTACTGTCTGACGTTCAAGATTCTTCGAACACTCCTGGAGACAGCTGGTAACTCAAGGCCGTTTGTTTACTATAGTACGGAGTATAATATAATACGAAACTACAAAGCCCAACCATTAATTAAGCAACGGGGACTAAGTAACCAATCACCGATAACCTTTTACATTCATTCATATATTTTACTACGTACTATAGTAAACAAACGGCCCTGAGTTGCCAGCTGTCTCCAGGAGTGTTCGAGGAATCTTGAACGAGACTGGACATCGAAAACATAAACCTATGAAGCACTTTAATGCGTGGCAGTAACGTGGGCCCAGGTGGTCCCTTCCCGCTGTGGACTTTTTTCGGTCCTTGAAGCTAAAACATAATTATACTGTTCTTGGTCCTGTCCCTAAAAGGTTCTGTTTCTTTGTTTCTTTGTTTTTTATAGTGTAAGACGTGCTTTTTTTTACCACTTCTTAGCTTATTAACCTTTCGGGCGATTGGTCTAGTACAGGAGGAGTGTGGGAAACGTGTCATGTTTGGTAGTGAGGGTCACACTGGCTAACACCTTACTCACGTGTGTCTGGGCAAAGCAGGACTCGAACCCTTGACATATTAGTGTGAGATCCTCGCGTTGCCACACACTTTACATTTAGTTTTGTTCACATCTGCCTGAGGAACATACTGCCAGTGGTACTTATTTCCTAACCTTAGTCTAGCGGTTACAACATCTTGTTATCTAGTGATCTTGTTACTTGCTTCACTTGATACATCTCGTCATGGTAAACAATGGATCGACTAGTGCCTGTTTGCACTTGTCTGCTTGCTTCAAATTCATCAACAACCTTTTCCTTGCCACCTACTTGTCTCTGAAGCCGAACACAAACATGTGTGTGTCTTGTTGACGTGTGGTGGAGGATGGGTGTGAGGGGGTGGTGGGTGTGAGGGTGTGGTGGATATGGTGGGTGTGATGGATATGGTGGGTGTGAGGGTGTGGTGGATGTGGTGGGTGTGAGGGTGTGGTGGGTGTGGGGGTGGTGGATATGGTGGGTGTGATGGATATGGTGGGTGGAGGGTGTGGTGGATGTGGTGGGTGTGGGGTGTGGTGGATATGGTGGGTGTGAGGTGTGGTGATATGGTGGGTGTGGGTGTGGTGGATATGGTGGGTGTGATGGATGTGGTGGGTGTGATGGTGTGAGGTGTGGTGGGTGTGGGGTGTGTGGGGATGTGAGGGGTGTGGTGGGTGTGATGGGCGTGGGGTGTGGTGGATATGGTGGGTGTGGTGGGTGTGGGGTGTGGTGGGTGTGAGGGTGTTCGTGGTAAAGTGTGGTGGGTGTGGTGGGTGTGGTGGATGTGGGGTGTGTGAGGGGTGTGGTGGTGTGGTGTGGTGGGTGTGGGGGCGTGGTGGATGGGTGGGTGTGGTGGGTGTGGGGGTGTGATGGGCGTGAGGGTGTGGTGGGTGTGAGGGTGTGGTGGGTGTGAGGGTGTGATGGGCATGAGGGTGTGAGGGTGTGAGGGTGTCGTGAGGTAAAGTGTGGTGGATGTGGTAAGCGTGAGAGAAGGGCGTCTTGATCTGGCCGTGAGCCAAGCTGGTTCCCTGGGAGGCGGTGTGTAGACTTGTGACCTACAGCTGACTTAACCCCTCTGGCATGACCTCTAGCGCGATGACCGCCCCGGGGGAGGTAACATGAGAACATAAGAATGGAGGAAACTGCAGCGGGCCTATTGACCCATACTGGACAGTCCCATTTATACCCAACCCCCATTGCTCATATATCCATCCAACCTATGTTTGAAGCTATCCAACGTATTCAAGTTAATGATGATGTTTGGTAACTTGTTCCACTCATCCACTACTCTGTTTCCAAACCATTGTATCTCTCGCCTTAATCTAAATTTGTCTAATTTAAAACCATTGTTGCGAGTTTGCTCCTGGTTGGATAGTTTGAGTACCTATGTTATATCACCTTTATTTAGCCCTGACTTCCATTTATACACCTCTATCATATCGCCCCTCACTCTGCGTCTCTCGAGAGAATGCAAATTAAGATTCTTTAACCTGTCTCTGTACTCAAGGTTCCTAATGCCCGGGATTAGTCTTGTCATTCTCCTCTGAATTCTTTCTTGGGATTCAAGATATATGTCGTTTTAGGATAACCTCGCTGGTCTTGTAACTAACACTCCTTTGTATGAACCCAAGTACTTTGTTAGCCTTGTTTCGAGCAAATTCACATTATTGACTTGGTTTAAGATTCCTACTTATCATTACTCCTAAATCTTTCTCACAGTCGGATTTCTCTATAACAACGTTGTTCATCTGATATCTGATTTCTCTGTTTACATCTCCTAGACTAAGTACTTTACATTTGTCCTTATTAAATTTTTTCACCTGCCATTTTTCAGACCATGCGATTTCTTTTTTTAGACCTTCCTGTAGTTTTGCGGAGTCCTCGTCAGATTTAATTACACGCCCTATTTTAGTGTCGTCAGCAAATTTACTTATGTTGCTGTCTCTGCCGATATCTATGTCGTTATGTATATAATAAATAATAATGGTCCAAGTACTGAGCCTTGTGGTACTCCACGAGTGACGTTACTCCTATCGGATTTAGTGCCGTTAATGCTTGCTGTTTCCTGTCCTGTAACCACGCCCTAATCCATTTTAGAATGTCTCCTCCAATTCCTTGAGTACAGAGACAGGTTAAAGCATCTTAATTTGCACTCCCCCGAGAGATGTAAAGTGAGGGGCGATATGATCGAGGTGTGTAAATGTAAGTCAGGTGTCATGGGTTACGTTAGGCTTACCCACGCAACCAACTCCAAAGTTTGTGTTGCTAGGGATAAGGCACCCGGCGAGGCATAACTGCTACACATATTTTCCATTAGTGGTATGTTAGCCAGTCTATAGGGGGAGGCCAGTGAGACAGTGTTGTACTGTTCATCGCCTCATGCCCCAAAAACCACATTTTGAGTAATATCCCCTAGGCCATGGGTTAGTTAAGACGTCTTTCCCACCCTCTCCCTCCTGAAGGGAACGGGACACCACACAGAGTCCTCCACCACCACCCCTTTCCTGTGGATCGTCAGTGACACGAGACTAAGTGTGCTAACCTAGGCTGTTATCCCCCTGGAAATATCACGTGTGGAAGCCTGGTTGCGGCAAAAGCAATCCAGGCTGGCCTACCGAACCTAAGTGGTTAATCAAGTCACGTTTATCAGTTCTCCTTGCCGCGACAACCGTCTACAGTGACTGTCAGTGACGCGAGACTATGTTATCGTAACCCAAGAGTACCTTTTTGTTGTTATTCCCCGTGAAAGAAGTGAAACCTGGTTGCAACAAGAGCAATCCAGGCTGGCAGTAAATGTATCACTTGAAGAATTAAGGCTCTGTTAAGTCATACCCATAGTAGAGTAATCACATGTGTTCCCAAGTTGAAAATTCCCTCTTATAGAAGATTAATTTTATTACAGCGTGAATGTGAGTGACTCATATACCCATGCAAATTGTAAATCATTGTATGGAAGCTTGACAAATAAATGTAAGTGCAATTATCTGCCCGTATCTGTGATCCTCTCTTATTATTACTAAAGGTAATGACTGATTGGTTATGACAAAATGTAACCAATAACTTAGATGGATGTTGGAAATTAATGAAACTCATTAAATCATCATTTATCAAGTATAAATCATGGAATGTCGAGTGGTGGAGTGAACTTCTACACCATAATCTCCTGTAAGTAACCAGTGTGAAGGTATCGAACTCTACGGTAAGAAATATAAGAAACACAATAATAATCTCTACATAACATCCACACCTAGACTTTACATAAAACCATGACATCATGGCTAAACAAAGGTGATATAACAAAGGTACTCAAACCATCCAACCAGGAGCGAACTCGTAACAATGGTTTTAAATTAGACAAATTTAGATTTAGGCGCGGAATAGGTAAACATTGGTTTGGAAATATAGTAGTGGACGAGTGGAACAAGTTACCAAACATCATCATTAACTGGAACACGCTGGATAGCTTCAAACATACAGTAGGTTGGATGGACAAATGAGCGATAGGGGTTGGGTGTAAACGGGGCTGTCCAGTATGGGCCAATAGTCCACCTGCAGTTTCCTCCATTCTTATGTTCTTATGTTCTTAACCACGCCCTAATCTCTTGCAAACACACACACACGCACATACACAGCTTCGCCAGTATGCTACACAGCTTTGCCGCAGGACCGTGTACTCATTTGTACTCTACACAGCTCAGCCGCAGGACCGTGTACTCACCTGTACTCTACACAGCTCAGCCGCAGGATCCCTGATGAGGTTCTCACCGCTGACGACGTGTATGCTGGAGCGAGGGAAGTGATCGAGCCAGCGGGAGAAGTGCTTGGCGTAGAGTCCCCCGCTGATGGGACCCCAGTCGGAGTTGACCAGCCCCGACGACGACCTCACGAACGCCAGCTCCTCGAAGGCACGACGAGACCTGTGTTTACTGCAGGAGGCACAGAAGAAGGGAGGGAGTGAAAGAGGAGTTAGCGAGATTTTGCCATGGCCCATCTAAGTAGAGATTTGCTTCGTCTAGATAAACACTTGGCAAGCACTGCAGGTCATTGAAGGCACGAGACCCCCCCCCCCCTGTTCACTGTAAGAGGCGCAGAAGAAGGAACAGGTGGAAACTAGCGGTCATCTCAGTGGCGGATCCTCAGACTCAGTTGATTAGTTTGCACCAGGACTTCACTAGAGCCCCAACCCGTGTCTGGAGGCGACGCTGAAAGAGGGGAGAGAGAAAGAGAGAGAGAGAGAGAGAGAGAGAGAGAGAGAGAGAGAGAGAGATTAATAAGATGTGAACAATTAAAGAGGTGCCAATATACCAATAACAATTTAAACGATCCGACGGGGACTCGACAAACACCAGCTTCCGGAAGGCGCGACACGACCTGTATTTACTGAAGAAGTCGCCGACGGAGAGAAAGAGAGGTATAGATAGACAAACACGAGGAAAATGTTGGATAAATCTCAGGTATTGATTCTGTCTATATTACAGGAGTAACTGGGAAGCAACTGAGACCATCACAAATATACCTGACCTTGACCCTATGACCTTGACCTTTGATGACCTTTCTTAAACATTGACTCACTTTGTCCTCACCCCACATCCTGAACAATGTGACCTCGACCTATTGGTGACCTTTCTCCAAGATTCAAGTCATTCTGTCATTAGCCAGTCTCCTCCTCACACCTCACCTATAACAATCTTTACACACAATAACTACCAAAATAACACACACACACACACACACACACACACACACACACACACACACCCTGACCAGCTCACTCACTCACTCACCTCCATGTCTTCTCTTAACTGGCTCCCTTAACTACTACACAATTATGGAGACTTTTAGGTTAGGTTAGGTTAGGTTAGTTAGGTTAACTTGATATAACACTTTAGTTGTCCATATGGTGGTTAAGTGTGTGTGTGTATTATATCAATCCTAATGGAAGGGAAGAACCAACACTTGATAGCAGCTTAAGAAAATAAAGAGAGTGAGAAAGTTAGAGAGAGAGAGAGAGGAAATAAGAAAGACAGATAAATATAAGCGAACAGAGACAGAGAATGAGACAGAGAGAGACTAACAGACAGACGGGGAATGTAAGACCAAGAGAAAGGAGAGAGAGAATTTAAGAGACTGAGAAAGAAATGATGTCAGATGAAGAATAAGAGAGAATGAGAGATAGGAACAGAGTGACTTAAAGAGAGATAGAGATAAAAAGAGACAAGGGAAGAGATACGGGAAGCTGCACTGAGAGATAACATGTGAAGTAAGGCGTTCAGGGGTCTCTCTCTCTCTCTCTCTCTCTCTCTCTCTCTCTCTCTCTCTTTCCCAGTGAAGTGTATTATGGAAACGTACATGCGGATTCGACCCTACACTGAACCGACCACTGGAGAGAGAGAGAGCGATACAACATCCTGCAATATAAGCTTCACCTTTGAATTTGTTTACAACCATGCACAAATATTAGTATTATCTGCTGTACACAAACATGCCCCTCCCCTCCTCTCCCCGGGGCTTACTGGTGTGGCGTCACAGCAGGAAAAAAAGGCAAAAGAAGAGCTGAGAAAACTCTGCCGCTTTAAGCGCTTCCTGAGAAAATAAAACTCCGCTTGGTGACATCATTTATCACACAGATATTAACTTACCCAGCAGTGCCTCTTCATACTATGAGCACCACTCAAATATTAAAATTACAGGTGGTCCAAAATGAAGCTCTAAGATTCGTCATAGGTGAAAGACACCCCTTCACCAGAACCACAGCCGAGATACATAGAGACCTGAGCCCATCAACCAGCAGCTGCACACCCTGGCCAGAAGAGTCTAGAACGATCAGAGCAAGAACTCCTTCAAAGACTCCCACCAGACAACGACAACAACCATACATGGTTCACAAATCTCAAAAGGTCCATTACCACCCCCGATCTACACGGCCAGGCAATAAACAACCTCCCTAGACCAGCATCCGCCAGTAGGGTCGGCGGAATATGAAATAAGGCCCTCAAAACACCCATATATGGGACAGGGTAGGATGTCTAGAGCCTGTACCGACAGCCAATAACTAACCCATGACACAACCCTAACACACCATTAGCTCAGTCAGCCCGCCCTCTCTTACCTCCTCCTAAATTTCTTCAATTTCCGAACTATAACTTCCTTCCCCCACCTCTAATCTTCTTTCACCTCCTTTATCTACACAAAAAAAACTGCTGATGACCCTCCCTCCTCCCTCCTTGTAGGTTACCTCAGCGAGCACACAGTGTTGTCTTAACGTATGATCGATGTTGTAAACGTTGTCGAGAGTTCAGCGTCTTATTAACGTTTAGATGACGTCGTGGTGGTGTGACTGTGACTGGCTGTGACTGAGGCTAACTGGAACGAATCGTGTGTTTCTTGCTAATACACAATGAATTTGGGAAGCTCGGTCGTGTCCTGTGTGCCTCTCTCTCTCTCTCTCTCTCTCCTTCACCCACCAACCGTCCACCTCCCCACACCCACACAGTCTTGGTACCCCCCTTCCCTTCCCTTCTCTCTCCTTCCCTCTCCTCACTCTACACCATCACCACCTACCCTCTACGCCCCCTCACCTTAGTCCCTGGGTGTAGTCGGAGAGCGCCCTGGTGACTGGGTCTCTCACCACCAGCAGGAGCTTAATGCCTGGCAAGTCGTCCCTCACCCTCGCGGGGACACCGGGCGTGGTGAAGTAGGCTGGCGTCTTCTCCACTGTCAGCTGTCCCTCCAGGCTCAAGGGCAGCTGGCTCCTGTAGAAGTGGGTGAGTGTGTGAGTGGGAGGAGGACTGTGTGAGTGAAGAAATATGTGAAGTTTTGTGAGAAGAGAGGAAGAGGAGAAGAAGAAAGAGGAGGAGGAGGAGGAGCTGAAAGAGGGGAGGAGGAGGACTAGCAGCAGCAGGAAGAGGAGAAGAAGAAAGAGGAGGAGGAGGAGGAGCAGAAAGAGGAGGAGGAGGAGGAGCAGAAAGAGGAGGAGGAGGAGGAGCAGAAAGAGAGAAAGTACTGATGATGGTGACAGTGTGTGTGTGTGTGTGTTGTTTCCCTACCTCCTTCCTTCCTTCCTTCCTTCCTTCCTTCCTTCCTTCCTTCCTTCCTTCCTTCCTTCCTTTTCAGCTGAGTCAGTTTCTCCTCCCTGAACCTTCCCCTCTCTCTCACCTGCACACCATGATGGCCCCAGCTGTAAAACTTAACAGAAGTGGTCCATCTCACTTCCTCCCCTCTCTCTCTCTCTCTCTCTCTCTCTCTCTCTCTCTCTCTCTCTCTCTCTCTCTCTCTCTCTCTCTCTCTCTCTCTCTCTCTCTCTCTCTCTCTCTCTCTCTCTCTCTCCTCCTCCCACTTTCTCCCTCCTCCTCCTCCTCCACCTCTCCCCTCTCCCCTTCACCACCCCTCCCCTCTCCACCGCCCACTCACCTGTACCACGAGAGGCCCCGAGTGTAGAACCTGTCGAAGTAATGTATCTCTGGCCCTGAAGCCTTGATGGAGGGGTGTACCCTGAGGAAGGCCAGCAGCGCCCTAGTCCCTGACTTCTTGGCCCCGATGATCAGCACGTGTGGCAGTCGACGCATAGCTGACCCGTTTGTACCTGTAGGGGACGGCGGAGGTTATGAGGTGGTACAGTACAGGTGTAGGTACAGGTGTAGGTACAGTACAGGTGTACGTACAGGTGTAGGTGTGGGTACAGTACAGGTGTGAGTACAGGTGTGGGTGCAAGGTACAGGTGTGGGTACAGGTACAGGTGTGGGGTGCAGGTGTGGGTACAGGACAGGTGTGGGTACAGTGCAGGTGTGGTGCAGTGCAGGTGTGGGTGCAGTGCAGGTGTGGGTGCAGTACCAGGTGTGAGCACAGGACAGGTGTGGGTATGGGTGTGGGTGGGACGGGTGTGGGTACAGTGCAGGTGTGGGCTGGGACAGGTGTGGGTACCTGTGAGTACAGGTGTAGGCACAGGACGATTAGCCAGGTGCAAGGTGTAAGGTTACAGTACAGAATGTAAGAGTACAGTACAGGTGTGGTACAGTACAGGTGTGTCAGGTACAGGACAGGTGGCCAAAATTGTTCAATACAGGTGTAGGCACAGGACAGGTGTGGGTACAGGTGTGAGTACAGTACAGGTGTAGGCACAGGACAGGTGTAGGTACAGGTGTAGGTACAGTACAGGTGTAGGTACAGGTGTAGGTACAGTACAGGTGATGGTACAGTACAGGTGTAGGCACAGGACAGGTGTAGGTACAGGTGTAGGTACAGTACAGGTGATGGTACAGTACAGGTGTAGGCACAGGACAGGTACAGGATGACACTTATAATTAACACCTGATGTTTTGTCACGTGTTATTAATATTTCTTCTATCATTAGTTATCGTGTCTGTCTGTCTGTCTGTCTGTCTGTCTGTCTGTCTGTCTGTCCCCAAAATAGTCGAGAACGGTTATGAAGAATTACACCCAACGCGGTAGGTTAGGTTAGGTTTCTTAAAAAATATTTATGGAAGTTATCGCTATTAGGCAGTTATCCCTATTTATTATTATTATTATTATTATTATTATTATTATTATTATTATTATTATTATTATTATTATAGTTACCGTCATCATCATCATCACATAATAACCTTAGCACGGGGGTTGGCTGATTAACTCACACTTATTCAGTACATCATATAGGAATGTAACTCCTTCCTTCCTCCTGGAGTTAAACTACCACAGAGTAACACACACACACACACACACACACACACACACACACACACACACACACACACACACACGCACACACACTTTTAGAAATTCACGTCTATTTCCCGGGTGGGTGAGGGACACGAAGGCCGGAGTCAACTTTCCACTGGAGGAGAGAGAGGAAGGTATCACGGTCATATTTCTTAACCCAAATTGGATCTGTGGACGGGGAAGAGTTCGCTATTTTATTCAGACATAGATGAAGAATATATTAAGAGGTCTGAGTGTGGCAAAATGGTTAGGTGTTGTTGTTGTTGTTATTGTTGTTTTTGTTGTTATTATTATTATTATTATTATTATTGTTATTATTATTATTTTTATTATTATTATTATTATTATTATTATTATTATTATTTCTATTATTATTATTATTTTTATTATTATTATTATTATTATTATTATTATTATTATTATTATTATTATTATTATTATTATTATTATTGCGTTTACACACCGTTCATTCCTACCACTAATCTCTTATCATATTCGAATAAGACGTCTAATTATAAGACAATTTTCATCTATTACATTACCGGCGGAAATGTATAATAACGGAGATAGCATATCCAATTTTTTCTCTATTTTCTTTCATTAATCTTCCGCCGTTATAGCCTGCCTCACCTCCAGCACTGCGTGTCTCCTTAATAAATCATCAAGCGCATGCGTTCCCGTTCACGTCACGCGGCCAATCAAAAGCGTTTTTTTTTTAAACCAATTAAAATGATTTGTGGTTTAATTCTCGATATTTTTTGCCCAATCAAAATCGATTTTTATTTTGGGTCTCTCATATTTCCAAATTCAAGTTCAGTTCCGACCATGAAAGTCTGTGATGGGTGTCACTTAAATTATATGGAGCTGATTACGAGTTTTGGGGGAAAAAACGAAGTAACTATAGCATTTGTCGGTCGCATGGTGTTCTTCCAACCTCAGTAAAGTGTACTAAGAGCAAGACGGAATGTAAATATCGCAAAGACCAACATATGTGGCGTTGTGTAAGAGTCTCAGCATCCAACGACGAACAAGAACCAGGTCAATAAGGTGAGAAATAGGTGATTCTATCATATGGTGAGTCAGTTAGGCTAGGGCAGGGTATTTTTTTTTGGGGGGGTGTATTTTTTATTCGCTTAGCCATTATTTATTTTCGGAAAACGTCCAACGAAAAAAATTCTATAAAAACACCGGCTAATTTCCGCTTAAATGCAGGTCATACTCGGTCTACACACACACAAATACACTAGAAAAATATATTTTTGACTTTCTAACAGTGTGGTGTGACAATGCAAATTAACCTTATTATTATTATTATTACTATTATTATTATCAGTATTATTATCATCTTCTTTATTATTGAACAAAAGAATATGAAGAAGAAGAAGACAAAACAAAAGATAATAACCGTAAAGACAACAGTGAGAGTTAAGGCCAGAGCGGGTAGTGGTGGAGGACAGGTAGGCCCTGACATTTGGGGGCTGACCACCTGGCTAAGAATATCTCACCTGGCTCTCTTAACACAGTTACTGGCTAATACATGTGTGTGTGTGTGTGTGTGTTTGTGCACGCGCGTGCACAGGGTGGTGTAATGCGTCTTGTGTGGCAGCATTATGTAAGTGTTAACGTGCAAGCACTGCTTACTTCCTCTCGCTTTCAGCTGACCCATATGGCGATGGACGAGTGGCGACGGGGACAGGCAGAGATGACTGCCGGGAGTCTAGTCACAACTCTGCACACGAACTGCATATATAAGATGGTCGTTTATGTACTGGATTCTAGGCAGCAGTGCAATCCAGTCCTGTTTGTGTGACTGAGCACTGGAGCAGCCCTTTTGAAAAGCCACTCTGCTCTCCCGACAAGAGGGAGGGGGCTAGAAAAGGTGCCCTAAACATAGCCTGCCTGAAAAACCAACCTGACTGGGCAACTGCACCCAGTAAGGTCATCCTTACTTATGGCGTGGCCCCCTCCGTTCATCCGATGGTAACTCCGTAATTAAAGATGAAGAAGGCATCCGTCAGCACTGGAAAGAGCACTACCATTCGCTGCTCACCAGAAACACCGATGTGGATGCCTTGACTACCCACCAGGTGCCTCAGTATCCAGAGCTGACCCACCTCAGCTATCCTCCATCCCTGGATGAGGCAGCTACTGCCATCAAACAGGTGAAAAATAACAAAGCCTCAGGACCTGATGGAATCCCAGCCGAGGTGTATAAAGCCGGAGGACCTCTGCTTACCAGCCGTCTCTACTCTTTCCTGGAGAATATATGGGAAAAGGAGGAAATCCCCCAAGCTCTTAAAGATGACTCGATCGTCAATATTTATAAGAAAAAGGGAGACCGGTCAGACTGTGGCAACTACTGCGGAATCTCACCCGAGTCCTCCTAAACAGACTTCTTCCTGAGGCGGAAAACTTCCTCCCAGAATCTCGATGTGGCTTTCGACTGTCACATGGCACCCTTGACATGATCTTTTCTGCCCGCTAGATACAGGAAAAGTGCAGAGAACAGCATCGTGACCTGTACATGACCTCCATTGACCTAACTAAGGCTTTCGACTCAGTCAACAGGGAAGCCCTCTGGCGAACCCTCAGTCATTTTGGCTGCCCACCTTAATTCATCGCCATTGTGAGGCAACTCCATGATGGCATGAACGGCAGTGTCCTGCACAATGGCACCCAGTCTGAATTCTTCCCCCTCCGAACGGGGATAAAACTAGAATGTGTACTGGCACCAACTCTCTTCTCCATTTTCTTGGCTGCCTTCCGTACCCGTGCCATTGCCAATTTACCCGGCAGGGTGGACATTCAGTATCGGATGAAGGGTCTTTACAAAATAAGACGACTCCAGGCAGTAACATAGGTGTCGGCCGCTTCCATTACTGAACTTCAGTATGCAGACGACCTCACCCTCGTCACCCGCTTTCGGTATCTCGGCTCCCACCGGTCCACCGCCGCGGACATCGACGGTGCCGGAAAGACGCTGCCGCCGCCCTTCCCGCACTAGATGTAGCCCTCCACACGTGCAACGTCTGTGGACGACCCTGCCGGTTCCATATCGGCATCTCGATTCACCTCAGAGCTCACGAACGAAGGTGACATCCCTAATAACTCATATCATTGTATCATAGCTGGATGATCGTCATCCTCGAATCCGAGTGATAGCAAAGTAGTAGTAGTAGTAGTAGTAGTAGTAGTAGTAGCAGTAGTAGTGTGTGTGTGTGTGTGTGTGTGTGTGTGAACTCGCTTCTAAACGTCTCATAATTCCTTTAATCTTTCGAATCTGAATTTCCATTTGACTTCTGAACACGGCAAGACGACTCAAGCAGCGGTCATGAGGAGGAAGGAAGGGGGAGGAGGAGGGAAGGGGGAGGAGGAAGGAAGGGGGAGTAGGAGGAGGAGAAGGAGGAAGAGGAGGATCAGAGAAGAAGGTAAAAGGGGAGAGAAAAAGAGAAAATAACGGAGAGAAGGAGAGGGGAAGGGTGAGGGGGGAAAGAGGAACAGGAGAAGGAACAGGCAAGAAGCGATACAGACCATGGCGGTAAAAATGCTCTGAGATGGTTCATATGAAGACTCGACGATGCCCCAATATTGAAAGCCAAGATCAATATAACGAGAGGAGAGAGAGAGAGTGATAACAGCAGCCCTGGTGAATGGTGCAGAAACTTACGCCGATAACACCACACGAGATATACTCCCGAGGTGTTAACGCCATGGTGAGAATCCCTTAAGACGGTGAGAAACCCTTAAGACGGTGAGAATCCTTTAAAACGGTGAGAATCCCTTAAGAAGATGAGAATCCTTAAAAACGGTGAGAATCCTTTAAGATGAAGAAGAGAATAGAGGGAAAAATACCGATAAATTGAA